GAGGGGCCTGTAAACACACAGGCTGATTCATTAGTTTCTGACCATCTGCTTCCCGGGCCGGGGCGGGGGCCAGAGGGCCCTGTAGGTTGGAGCAGCCAGCACGGAGCCCCCATCTCCAGCCAGAACCAGCTGTGTCAGTCTTCCCAGTGACAGGCCAGGCGCAACTGGGGGCTTTGAGGGATACCCTGTCCCCACCTCAACGCCTCCACCCCATAGAACCCATCAGGGGCCTGGGCAGGGTAGGGCTAAGTAAGGCAGGAAGACGAAGAGAGACCAGGGAAAAGGTGAAGTGTGGGTGGCTCAGTAGTTGGGGTTGACAGGAATACTATCAACACTCAATAGGAGATATGTCAATATCACTGTCATTTGATTAATATGATAATAATAATAAGTATAATTGAGTGAGTGGTTACTGAGGTCCAGGCCCAATATGGAGGCCTCACTACACTGTCCCCAGTAAGCACATTAACAACTCTACGATGGATGATGAGAGAACTGGGTTTAAAGATTGATTCAAGGCTGGGTGCGGTGGCTCACGCCTATAATCCCAGCACTTTGGGAGGCCGAGGCGGGTGAATCACAAGGTCAGGAGATCGAGGCCACGGTGAAACCCTGTCTCTACTAAAAATACAAAAAATTAGCCGGGCGCGGTAGTGGGCGCCTATAGTCCCAGCTACTTGGGAGGCTGAGGCAGGAGAATGGCGTGAACCCGGGAGGCGAAGCTTGCAGTGAGCCGATATCGCGCCACTGCACTCCAGACGGGGGGACACAGTGAGACTCCGTCTCAAAAAAAAAAAAAAAAAAAAAAAAGATTGATTCAAGTCAGGAGGGCCTCCTGGAGGAGGCACATGTGGGAGGGCTCTGAAAACCAGGAGGACAGAGAGTGGCCAAAGGAGCACAAGTTCCAAGGTGGGAGAGGATGACGTGGCCTGGGAAATGGCACAGCTTCAGTGCTGGGTTGATAAAAGCTTTCTGGGGAGGTGAGGCAGTGTGACGCCACTTGGTGCCAGTGTACTAAGAAACCAGGCTGGTGGGGGAGACCCCAGAGAGAGCCTCTGGGGAAATCATCAAAAACTCTCGATTCATCTCTACCCCTCTGAGCCATTCCTCCCATTCCTCCCTGTTCCCTCTTTGCTCACCTGGGATGAGGCTTGTCTTAGCTCCAGCCACCATAACAAAGTACCACACGAGACCCAGGTGGCTTAAACAACAAAAATGTCTTTCCTTGTTCTGGAGGCTGAAAGTCCAAGATGAAGTTGTTGGCAGGTTTGGTTTCTGCAGAGGCCTCTCTCCCTGGCTTGGAGCCAGCCGCTGTCTCACTGTGCCTTCCAACGGCCTTTTCTCTGTGCTCATGGGCCCTAGCGTCTCATCAGGCAGCCACACTTCTTCTGAGGCCACCAGTCAGATTAGACTAGGGCCACCCTCAGGGTCCCATTTAACCTCAGTCACCTCTTGAAAGATAATCTGTCTCCAAATACAGTCCCATTCTCAGATACTAGGGTTAGGGCTTCAACATAGAAACCTTGGGGGAATACCATTCAGCCCCTAGGAAGTGCCCAGGGGCAACAGAAGCAGCTCTGGGACTTCGGAAAGGGGGTGATGGCTGGGCTGGGGGAAGAGGGGCATGTACCTCAGTGCCAGAGCCCAGGTGCAAGCTCTTGGAGCGCCTGCCCACCACTCCTCCTCCCGAGTGGCACAGACAGAGCCCATTCTGCGTCCAGGCTCAAAGCGCCCTTCCCGGCTGCTAGCTCCCTCACAGGTCAAGCCTATCTCCTCCAGCCCAGCACCTGCTACCCGCTCAGGCCGTTGGGCCATCCCCACGGCCTCTCAGCCCCACACCATTCCAGGCAACAGCACAGGACAGGGCAGCATCTTGCCCAGAGTCACCCGGCCAGTGAGTGGGGAAGCTGGGAACCACGCCCCCTGCCCCCGCCATGTCCTTCTGCTGTCCTGGCTCGGTGGGCTTGCCAGTGGTGTGGATATCTCTGATGGTAACAGCAGACTCCTCCTCAGAGGTGCCATCCGCTCTCCAGAAGGCTGGGGCCAGTCCTGCCCTGGCCCTGGCCTCAGTCTCCCCATCTGCTTAAGGAAGTATTGGACTTCATGGTGAGCTCCTGCCACTCTGAGGTTGCATGAGGGCCTGAGGACAGAGCTATTTTGGTCAAAGAGGGATTTGTGGAACCTGCCTCAATGAACCGAGGGTCAGCCCTGCCACCGAGGAGCCCCAGGCAGCCGGGGTACCTGTCCTCCACCCTAGAGGATCGAAGCCCACGGGCTGAGGCTGCTGCAGTGGCGCCTGGTGGGGGCCGCAGGGGTGTGGCAGCCCCTCGGAGGGTGGTGGGTCCCACTTCCCCCAAGGAGGCCAAACAGCTCATTTGAGAGTGAGAAGTTTTAACTTAGATCCAAGCCATTTTGTCTTTGAGCAAACCAGATGCCTGAAATATTCATCAAAAAGCGTCGCAAGTGGTCAGGAGCACTCTGTGGCTGTTAGTGACAGTGTTCGATTATTTGTTTGTTTAATTAATTAATAGACTTAATATTTTAAAGCAGTTTTAGATTTACAGAAAATTGAGCAGATAGTACAGAAAGTACCTAAAACCCAGGCCGCACCCCCCCCCCACCCACCATCTTTCCCCGCCTATTATCAACATCTTGCATTAGTGGGGGATATTTGGGGTTTTGGGGGGTTTCTTTAGAGACACAACCTCTCTCTCTCATCCACGCTACAGTGCAGTGGTGCTACACAGCTCACTGCAGCCTCAAACTCCTGGGCTCAAGCAAGCCTCCAGCCCCAGCTTCCCAAGTAGCTAGGACCACAGGTGTGCACCACTATGCCCAGCTAATTTTTACATTGTTTTTGTAGATACAGGGTCTTGCTGTGTTGTCCAGGTTGATCTTGGACTCCTGGCCTCCAGTGATCCTCCCAGTTCTGCCCCCTGAGTTGCTGGGACTAGAGGCGTGTGCCACCACTCCACACCCAGTTTATTTTTTATTGTTTGTAGAGACAGGGTCTCTCTGTGTTGCCTGGGCTGGTCTCAAACTCCTGGGCTCAAGTGACCCTCCGGCCTCGGCCTCCCAGAGTGTTGGGATTCCAGGCATGAGCCACCATATTAGTCATGTCTGATGAGCCATTGTTGATACATTATTATTAACTAAAGTCCATAGTTTACATGAGAGTTCACTCACTGTGTTGTACAGGTCTATGAGTTTTTTTGTTTGTTTGTTTTGTTTGTTTGTTTTTCATACGGAGTTTTGTTCTTGTTGCCCAGGCTGGAGTGCAATGGCACGATCTTGGCTCACTGCAACCTCCGCCTCCCGGGTGCAAGTGATTCTCCTGCCTCGGTCTCCCGAGTAACTGGGATTACAGGCATGTGCCACCATGCCCGGGTAACTTTTTTGTATTTTTGGTAGAGACGGGGTTTCTCCATGTTGGTCAGGCTGGTCTCGAACTCCTGACCTCAGGTGATCTGCCCGCCTCAGCCTCCCAAAGTGCTGGGATTCCAGGTGTGAGCCGCCGTGTCCGGCCCGGGTCTACGGGGTTTGACTCATGCATAATGGCATGCATCCACCACTACAGTATTATACGGCATAGCCTCACTGTCCTAAAAATGCCCTGTGTTTGGCCTAGTCATCCCTCTGACCCTGGGAACCACTACATTAGTGACATTTCCAGGTCTCTCTGGCCTGTTTCCATCAATGGCACTTCTCACACCAAATGCGTGGGTTTTCCACACCAATAACCTATTCTCTAGCTCTCTGGACAGCAACTGGGTGTCCGATGATTCCGTTCAATTCTGACACTGCCCAGAGCTGGCGTCAGAACCCTCAGGTGAAGGGCTCAGTCGCACCACACTGCCCCCACCTCTGAGGCAATTGCAAGTTCCTGCCTCCCATACCTGCCCGATTGGCTGCAAATTGGGGGTTCCCACGACTCCTCCCTCAGGTTTGATAGTTTGCTAGAATAGCTCACGGAACTCAGAAGGGCATTTTCCCTACGTTCACCCGTTTATCAAATTCAGGAACAGTCAGATAGAAGAGACTCACAGAGTAAGGGATCGGGGAGGGACCCAGAGCTTCCAGTCCCTCTTTGAGCACCTCAATGTGTTTACCAATCCTAAGGGTACAGGTAAAAAGGCTCAGGGGCCGGGCGCAGTGGCTCACATCTGTAATCCCAGCACTTTGGGAGGGCAAGCCGGGTTGATCACCTGAGATCAGAGTTCAAAACTAGCCTGGCCAACATGGCGAAACCCTGTCTCTACTAAAAATGCAAAAATTAGCTGGCCAGGGTGGTGCATGCCTATAATCCCAGCTACTTGGGAAGGCTGAGGCAGGAGAATTGCTGGAACCTGGGAGGTGGAGGTTGCAGTGAGCCAAGATCGCCTCATTGCACTCCATCCTGGGCAACAAAGCAAGACTCCATCTCAATTTTAAAAAAAAAAAATTAAATTAAAAAATAAAAGGCTCGTGAAGGTGACTCAGCTAAGGCGATGTTTAGAGAGTCGAGAACGTGAATGGGAATTTTCGAGGCAGACAGAGAGTGGAAGGGCACATGAAGGAGAGAGAATGCCATCTGCAGAGGCTCAAAGGTACAACCAGGCAGGGGCAGGAGGAAAGATGTCCTGGGGAGGCCCAGGCACAGTGTCACCAGGTGTGGGAGGGCAGGTTGGGGTCAGTATATTACAGAGTCAGAACTGTATTCCAGGCAATGGGGAGCTATGGAAGGCTTCAGAGCAGGGGACTTACACCCAGCCTCCTTGGTTGTCTGTATTTAGAGCAGGAACAAGTGTGCATTTTCTTGGGAAGCCATGGGATGGCACACCTCTGCACGCATTGAGGAAATGGGCACAAATTCCCCAGCTATGTCCGGGCACCAGAGCACAGGCCCTGTAGCCACAGAGCAGGTGTCTCGGCTTGCAAGCAGGTGCCAGGCTGGGCAGAGGCTTCCCAGGCCATCCGGAGCATCCAGCACCCACCCTTCCCTTCTCCTCTCCCCGCTGCAGGAGAATCCCTACCTGTGCAGCAACGAGTGTGACGCCTCCAACCCGGACCTGGCCCACCCGCCTAGGCTCATGTTGGACAAGGAGGAGGAGGGCCTGGCCACCTACTGGCAGAGCATCACGTGGAGCCGCTACCCCAGCCCGCTGGAAGCCAACATCACCCTTTCGTGGAACAAGACCGTGGAGCTGACCGATGACGTGGTGATGACCTTCGAGTACGGCCGGCCCACGGTCATGGTCCTGGAGAAGTCCCTGGACAACGGGCGCACGTGGCAGCCCTACCAGTTCTACGCCGAGGACTGCATGGAGGCCTTCGGCATGTCCGCCCGCCGGGCCCGGGACATGTCGTCCTCCAGCGCCCACCGCGTGCTCTGCACCGAGGAGTACTCGCGCTGGGCGGGCTCCAAGAAGGAGAAGCACGTGCGCTTCGAGGTGCGGGACCGCTTCGCCATCTTTGCCGGCCCCGACCTGCGCAACATGGACAACCTCTACACGCGGCTGGAGAGCGCCAAGGGCCTCAAGGAGTTCTTCACCCTCACTGACCTGCGCATGCGGTTGCTGCGCCCGGCACTGGGCGGCACCTACGTGCAGCGGGAGAACCTCTACAAGTACTTCTATGCCATCTCCAACATCGAGGTCATTGGCAGGTAAGGCCGGGGGAAGCCCTGGATGTCACCTGCAACCTGGGATGCTATCCGTTACCTGGGATGTTATTGGATACCTGGGATGTTACCTGGTATGTGAAACATGACCGGGTTCTTGGGATGTTACCTGGTTCCCTTGAGGTTACCTGGTATGTGATACATCCCCTGGTTCTTGGGATGTTACTTGGTACCTGGGACATAACCTGGTTCTTGAGATGTTACTTGGTTTCCAGGAGGTTACCTAGCACCTGGTTCTTGAGATGTTACTTGGTTTCCAGGAGGTTACCTAGCACCTGGGACATTACCTGGTTCCCAGGACATTACCTGATATTACATCATAGGGGCTGTCTAGGATGGCTGGAGCTGCACAGACCCAATGCCTGAGCTTTTCCACGGAAGGAGGTGCATGTGTTGGAGGAAGGAAGTACATGTGTTGGAGGTGTGGAGGGCAGGAGTGGAGTCTGTCTGGGCAGGGCTGGGCTAACTCCTGGTGCTGACTGTGACAAGTGCCCTGAGGCTGTCCACTGACTCAGTGAATGTCCACTGACTCACATTCAAGGGTTTCCGAGACCACCTTTAGGCTCCATGATTCACTAGAAAATCTCACAGAACTCAGCAAAGCTGCTATATTCACAGTTATGATTTATTACAATGAAAGATACAGATTAAAATCAGCAACAGGAAAAGGTGCCCAGGTCCGTGTCCAGGACATAGCAGGTGCAAGCTTCTCATTGTGCCCTCCCAGTGGGGTTGTGCAGACAGCACTTGATTCTCCCGGCAGTGACATGGGACAACGCTTGTGAGCTATCGCCAGGCAGGGATGCTTACCGAAGCCTCCGTGTAGAGTTTTTATTGGGAGTTGATGGTAGAGGCATTGCTGATGATGTGGCTGGTCTTTGGCTCCAATCCCTGCAGAGGTCGAGCTGATACTACATGGCCCAAGGCCCCCCAGTAAATCTCATCAGCGTAGGCTTTCTGATGTGTGCCAAGACCCGCAGGCAAACACGGACACTCTTTCTAGACAGGACACTCCAAGGGCTTATGGATTAGGGGTCACCTCGCAGAAGCCAGAGTCAGACCTTTCTTTGGAATGTGCAGTGTGTGGACACCCCAGACCTGCTGAAGCAGCTCTTTCTTGCCCAGCTCTGGAGAGGAATGTGTTTTGAGGAAGCTTTGAGGAAGGCAAAAGACTGTCATAGGAGAAGAAAGCAGCCTTTACCTCCCAAAAACTGTTTAGATTGTGGAGGAATACATGGTTCTGTGCTGTCCTAGGTCACTGATTCTTTTGGCAGATAATATGCCAGTCTGTGGGGGCAATGCCATCTTCCCTGGGCCATCTGTAGAATGGGGATGGTAACAAGCATACTTCTCTTGCTGGATTATGGTGAGGGTTAAATGAGTTAAAGTTGATGAAGTACTCAGAACAGTGCCTGGCACATAATATGTGCTAAAAAAAAAAAAAAGTGTTTAATAAAAAAAATTGGACAAAATAATGGAGTGAGAGGGCTGGGGTGGGCTGAGGGAGGAGAGAGTTGAGACCCAAGGGTGCTGGGGCAGTCCGGGCCAGGAGCCTGGCTTAGGCAGGTGCAGGCCGGGGCTGCACCTGGGGAGCCCAGCTGGGATGATCACTCACTGTGGGCATCTCTCCATTGCAGGCTCTCAATGCCCACCTAAATCTATAATTCCTGACAAGTGGAAAAAGTGATTTGCCATATGGCACGTAGAGCATAATCCTGTTTTTGTAAAATATATGATACGCCTTGTATATCATTTCTGCGTCTTGAACACACGTTGGCTGTAAGTGTATACAAGACCAGGACAAACATCATGGGTTGGGAAGAAAGGCTGGAAGCCCGTTTGCCAGCCATGTGCTGTGGTGATGCCTGCATGGTGAGGCTGGACGGGCCACTGTGGTGCTGCTGTTTCCAGCTTGTGTTTGCATTTTGTTTCACTTTGACGGTGTGTGTGGATTCCAGGTAGGCAAAGGCAAAGGCAGGTCGTTCATGAAGCCGAAGTCAGCTTCAAGTCTGGCAGATGGGAGTGAAGCAGGTGCAGACAGGGGCCCGTGGTTCTGATACCCGTGATCTCTAACCCACCTCAATTGGGACAGGATATTCAAAATCAGGAATGTTCTTGAAAACACCCCATATTCAGGCACTGTGGTGGAAGCTGGTGTCCAGACTTTCAGCCCCTGGGCATCTCTGGGACCTCTGCCCTTGGAATGCCATTGTCTGGTTGTTACTAGACACCCGCCAATCCCCGGGCTTAGCAGCTCAGGGCTGGGAACCAGCTCCCCAGGCCCTGCAGGCTCCTGGCTTGTCTTCTGACCTTGGGCTGCTCAGGGAAACCCTCATCTTCAGGCAACTGTTCAAGGACCCTGCCTTACATTTCCTAAGGCGGCTCATGTGGGGCCCTCATGTCTGGGCCAGCTGTAGGGTCCAGAATGGGCCTGTGATGGTCAGGGTCTGGTGGTGCCACTTCAACCCCAGCAGGATGACCTGGGGTTCAAACCCTGCGCCCTGTCTCGATTTCCCATCTGTGACAAGACAACTGTGGCTGCCTGGAGCCCATGTCTCCCTGGAGGTGGTTCCCCTTGGCACCCAGCCTCCGCGGGCGGCAGGGAGGAGCCGAGGTGGTGGCGAGAGTGTGCAATCAATTCAGAGAGAGAGTAAACACTCTTCAGGCAGCAGCTTGGCTTGTCGTTGAATTGGGTCGGGTTAGACGGTTCAAGGAAGGGCTGAAGCTACCTCCCCTTTTCCCTCTTCATTTCCCCTGGGAAAGTCCAGCCGTGCTGAGAAGCCAGAGACGCAGGACCCGTGACAAAGGGGGATGTGGCACCCGAAGTTCCTGAGTGGGCACCAGGGACCCCTGGGGGTTCCTGGGCTCTGGGATTTCACACTGAACCTGTTCTGGGGATTCCCTCAGAATTTCATGACCGCCCTGTTGCCCAGTGGCTCCGCTGTGGTCCACTAACAAGAACAGCAAATGTTTATCCAGCATTTGCTATGGGCTCATTTGCTATTGAGTGCTGTTATTAACGGCTTCATGTGTATTTTCTTGTTTAATCAATAGTTGTTTAATTTCCCGATGGTTATTGAATGGTTCAGATCCTGCAAGCCAAGGACACAGCACTGAGCAAGCCGGACCTGATCCCCACCCGCTGCAGCTCTCCCTGCGGGGGCAGTGCTCCCCCAGCCTCATGTTTTCAGATGAGGAGGCTGAGGCCTGTGAGGTCAAGGAATAGAAGGAGATTGCACAGCGCCACTACATGGCAAACAGCTAACATCCAGACACAAGCATGTCCGGGCTCAAGATGGACTCGGCCACCAAGCGGTCCCTAGCCCTGGCCTGGTGGCTGCCTCATTTCTGGTCCCAGCTCTGACTTGAGCCCACCTGGAGCTCAGATAGCCTGTATGATGGGGCCATCCCATGGGACTCCTCTCTGATTTGAAGGTTCTTTAATGGATGGTGGCTCCCTGCTCTGCCCCTCAAGTCAGCGATTTCCAGCTCCAAGGGGGACCCCAATGGCAGGCAACGGTGTAGGCAGGAGGGGGAGGACAGAAGCACCTGGCTGCGGAGGAGGAGCTGGAGCAGCTGCAGCCAGCCCAGGGTCCTGGGAAGGAGGGACTGGTACAAATGGTGAGGGAGACAAGAGGTGGGGACAGACTGAGCTCCAGCCCCACCACAGGGGGCAGGTGGGGTGCCAGTGGCTCTGAGAGAAGCACAGGCACCCGCAAGTCCCAGCCACACCCCCTCCCTGACTCCCGCGGAGCCTGCTCCACGTGCCCATTCCTGGAAGGCAGGCAGGGGGCGGGAGCTATTTTCTCCTTCCACACATGGGGAAACTCAGGTGCGGAGCTTGGAGAGTGGTTGGCTTCAGACTGTGCAGCAAATCTGGGGCAGAATCTGGATTTGAGGAGGAATGAGATCATCCCTTTATGGTGCTTGGAGCGGGAGGGGCCTCTGCTCCCACCCTCCACACAACCATTAAGAGAAGCAGGGCCCAAACCTGACCCAGCATCTCACAGGAGAGCCGTTTAAGACAGGGTTCCCCAGCCCCACCACTGAGAGCTTTGGGACTGGGAGGCTTCGGGTGAAGTCCAGAAGGCTGTGTCTTTGCAAAGCTCCTCAAGTGAGCTGGAGAGGTGGAAGCTGCTGCATCCATGGAGATGGATGACCATAACCTGTTGGAACCTCAGTTTTCTCATCTGCAAAATGGAGAAATAGTAATGACGTTAGCTGCCGGTTGTGAGGAGTCAATGAAATGCTATATTCAAAGAGCTTATCTCAGTGTCTCATTCCTCTGGTTAGACGGTGGGAGAGGGAAGGTGAGGAGGCTTAGGATCAGGGCTGCCTAGATATGAGGCCATTCCTGCACCCAACCCAGGTACTAGAAGGAGTGTAGAAGCATGCTTCTGGGTTCACAGGGGTTGCAATCCCAAATGTCTGCAGAGGCTGGGAACATAGCTTATGTGGAAGCTAGGCATGGTGGTGTGCGCCTGTAGTCCTAGCTACATGGGAGGCTGAGGCAGAAGGATTACTTGAGCCTGGGAGGTTGAGGCTGCAGTGATCTATGATGGTGCCACAGCACTGCAGCCTGGGTGACAGAAAGAGATCCTGTCTCTAAAAAAATAAAAATAATAAATAAATTCCAATGAATAATAAAAATAATGAGAAGAAGACAATGTATATGGGTACCTATGGTACCATCAGAAGTGACAGGGAAGGGTGTGGCCTGGGGAGAAATGGAGACAGCAGGACCCTCACAAGACAGTGGACCAAACATTCCAGATCTTCTGCAGTAACAAAGGAAGGTGCACAGCAGTGTCTATGGAAAGTCTCTTGCTTTCAAAAATATCGGCACCTACTTCAAAAAGTGGTTTAAACTCTGTGCAAGGAAAACAAAATGCACCTGCAGCCCAGGGCAGCTCACTAGCTGCCAGGGGGCACCCCTGCTCTGAAATGCTCAGTGTCCTCCTGTAGCTGTGGTAGCGGCTGCATTC